CACCCCCAGGGGGATAGCCATGCCGCAGTCCCTTCTCCTCCATTCTCCTCTTGGGATTTTGGACACATAGCACAGGCACACAACGTGAGGTTTGAGCCTCTGGGTCCAGGACTCGAACCACAGGCAGCTACGTGTTGTAACCGTACGCCATCTGCTGGTCCTGAGCAGTGAGAAGGGCCCCCTAGAGACAAGGAAGAATAGTACGCTGTCCCTCCCCCTTGACGTGCATGGGGATTCTCTCATAAGTGCCGTTTTCGATTCAGTTGATCTGGGTGAGAGTGTGGGATTTTGTGTCCCCAAGAGACTCCCGGGTGATGCTGATGCTGCGCCCACAGACCGCATGTAGGCGATGAGACAGGGAGAGGCAGGCCTGTCCGCAGTGCTCACCATACCTGCCTCTCAGCAGGGCATCAGCAGGAGACACAGCCCCCTTACTGCTGTAGCTGTGCTCATCTGAGCTGCAGGGGCAGGGAGCCGGCATCGTCCCACCCCAGTGTCTGATCTGGTCCTACCGAGAATTCGTGCTGCTGTTGTCCCGCCCCAGCGTCTGCTCTGGTCCTCCGGTGGATTTGTGTTGTCCCGCCCCAGCGTCTGCTCCGGTGGATTTGTGTTGTCCCGCCCCAGCGTCTGCTCTGGTCCTACTGTGGATTTGTGCTGTCCTGTCCCTGTGTTTGCTCTGGTCCTCCCGTGGATTCGTGTTGTCCCTCTCTGCCCCTTGTCTTTCCCCTCCGTGCCCCCTCCTTGTGGAAGCCGAGTACCCCAAAACCATGAAAAAGGCTCCCAAGTGCGCCGGTTGTGTTTGACAGCAGCTGTGCCTTCTCTGGGCCTGGGAGGGGGAAGGAATCCCAGCTCGCCTGCCTAGCCGTGAGGCCCAGGCGGGTCCCTCGGAGGCGGTTTCTCGCTGCAGCGGGTACGACGCGGTCCCCACCTCGCGGGTGTATGGGCGCCTGGCACCCGATGGAGATGAGCTCCCCGTTCCTCGTGGCCGTCTCCTCTTCCTCGTCCCCTCAGCTGCATCATAGAACTATGCCTGTGGTCCATGCCGGCCTCCCGTTTATAGAACAATGCTTTCTTTATTGAATAAGTAAGTGTTCTGGGGACCAGAGGTGGCGTGGTGGTTAAGGTGTTGGATGCTCCCACGTGGCCTGGACCTGGTGGCAAGTTCCACACCCCAGCCTTGCCCAGGAGGAAGTCAAGCTTCGTATCTTCCCCAGCCTCAGCCCGGCTTCAGTTTCGCAGTCCTGAGCCAGGCGCACCTTGCCGGGGCAGCTCCCTGTTTTAAAAGCCTTCCTCCTGGTTAGGTTTGGGCTCATTAAGCGTGTGAGTGTTTGAGGGTACTGCTAAGGCCAGGGAATAGTTTCATTTGAGCAGAGAAGCTGAATTTCTGAGTGACTTGATGTAAAAGATACTTTCTGTTTTCTGAGATGATTTTTTTCTTCCACAGGGCCGACCATGGTTGGAGTCACAGATCTGGTGGCTTGCTTTCTCACTCTCTCTCTCTCTCTCTCTCTCTCTCTCTATCTATCTATCTATATCTCTTTCTCCTCCCCACCCTGCCCCCCAACCAAATATAAATAAATAAAGTAACATTTTAAAAAGGAAAAAAAAAGTCGATTTTAAGATAAGTACAACATAGCACCAGCAGATGGCATAATGGTTATGTCACTGAACTCCCATGTAGTCCACCACGGTTCGAGTCCCGGACCTGGTGGCCTAAAACTCACTCTGGGTGTGTGTGCATGCGTGCCCAAAACCTGAGAGGAGAATGGAGGAGAAGGGGTTGCAGAGTAGTCATCCCCCCTGTAGAGTGATTTCTCACTTTCTGTCTCTGTCTCTCCCGGTGACTGTAGCAAAAATCTCTCTTAAAAAAAGGAAAAGATAAGTACAACATGTAGAAACTTTATCCTCTGCAGCTTGAATTAAGAGGGAGGCTCGCATTAATCCTGCCCTTCATTTCATGGCGCACCACTGCCTTCAGTCCGTGCAAAACCTGTCTCTTACGTAGTACGACTTTCTTGTTGGGTAGTCACTCCCTCCTGCTCTCATATGTTGGTAACACAGAAATTGCGTGTATCTTTCGGAATATGTGGTGGTTTCATTTGTATGTTTGCAACTGTGACTTCTGACTTAAAATATAATCCTATTAGTTAAAATATGAATAAACATTTTAGTATTTTTTAGCTTATAATCATTTCAGAGGCTAATTAGGAGCTAAATGAGGGCCAGCAGGTGGCCCCCGCATGGCCGAAGTGGAGGCTTGCTTTCTCACTTCCCCCTCTCTGGTGAGCACATGTGCCCTATGACACAATAAAATCACCACCGTCGTCAATATCGCTACCTGCAGTTTCAGAAAGAAAAGCTAGATGGCAGTCTCGATTTTTATCCATCCCCTCAACAGTCTTTTCATTCTTTATTGGCTCTGTGTAGTTTAGCAGGAGGTAAATAGAGAAGAAGGCTATGGGGCCTGCAGGTGGCATGGTGGCTGGGGCGCTGGACTCCCACGTGGTTGACCACAGTTTCAGTCCCAGACTTTACGACATGCTTTCTCTCTCCCTTTCTCTCTCTCTCTCTCTCTCTCTCTGTTTCCCTTCAGTCAAATTAAAATAATAATAAATTAAATAGAGTAAATAATTCTTTTAAAAAAATGCTGTAATTTTGCATTTAATGGTGAATGACCCACAAGTTATAAATAAAATGATAAATAAATTAAATGTATGTAATATATAAATGCAGTAATGAGGTGAAGCTCTACATCTAAGTTAGTCAGTCTTTATGGGTAATAACATCAATTTTTACATTTTGTAGGAAATGAAAACTGCAACCACATGTCTGATAAGTAGAAAACACACCCAGCTGCACTGGCGAGAAAGTACATGCCAATTAAAACAAGGAATGGTTTCTTTTTTTTTTTGGAGAGGTTTTCACTATAGGGCACGTGTGCTCGCCAGACAGACAGAGAGAGACATAGAGACAGAAAGCGAGAAATCACCCCCCAGGGGGGATGGTCACGCCGCAATCCCTTCTCCTCCATTCTTCTCTCGGGATCTTGGGCGCACACGCGCCCGGCGTGAGTTTTAAGCCACTGGGTCCGGGACACGAACCGCAGTCGACTACGTGGGAGTCCAGCGACATAGCCATTACGCTAACTGCTGGTTCCCAAGGAATGGTTTCTCACCTAGCAGCCTATCAAAGGCCAAGCAGAGAAGTGGCGTAGACTTAGGGAAATTGGGTGAAGTCAGGCTGCATTAACAGAGGCGCCAGTGAGCTGCTCTTTCCGATGTCAGCCCTCATGAGCAGATGCTGGTGCTGCCCGCCAAGGATGCCCGAACTGCAGCACCGGGAGCCGAGTGGACGGGCGCAGCAGGCGACTGGCAGGGTTGAGACTCACTCTCGTACTTGAAAGCCCATCCACCAAGCCTGCGTCTGGCCACACCAGGAGCTTAGTGGACTGTGAACAGGAGAGGTGGGGTTCAAATGCATCGCACATAAGTGGGTGTCACTTTGTGGCACCTGCGTTTACATGTGGCATCAGGAGATAAAATTCATTTCTCACTGTGGTCACAGTTGAGGTCTGCGTTAGCACAGCCAGCTTAGCTCTGGCTCTGGCTCAGCCTGGCACTCTCCCCAGATCTTTCTATTTTCCTTGTTTCTTTTAAGTTTGCGGTTCCCATAAGAGAGGAGAGCTAGGCGAGGCCCACGCCACAGTGCGCCCCAGTCTCAGCCAGCCCAACCAGGGGCACGCACACCTGGCATGCCAGGGAGGTCCGGGAAGTGAGGCCAGACCCTTCCCAAGCCAGTCCAGCGACCCCACCACCGCACCAGCGCCTGGCCTCATTGGCAGAGGGCCTGCACACCATCCGCTTAGCTGTGACCCTCAGGGCTACCAGCTTGGACCACTCGGGAGGAACCCCCACCTCCGACCCCTCCATTTCACTGCTCTCTTCTTTTCCTCCTGGCTTTCTCACCGTTTGCATTATCTTGTTTGTTAACATGTTTATTCTCTGCCACCCCCATGCTCCCCCCTGCAGGCAAACCCTAAAACATAATCTCCACGAAAACAGAAATTACTTTATAAGGCAGATGCTTCAGAAAATTCTTTTGACACCTCTATACTAGTACAGAGTCCACCAAAACTTCTATCCAAAAAGAGTGCTGGTAAAAACTCACTGATGTTCTCACGAGCGGTGCACCTTCCCGGGGAAACTACCACGACAGAAATCAGTTTGAAGAGGAAACTTGAACTTTTTGTATAACAGGAACATCCTTTCTTGTCAGAATCAGCAAAGAAGAAACTAGTAGTTTTAGCTGTGTCAATGCACAGCTTAAAGGATCCCTCCAAAACATTTGTAAAAATTTAGACAAGGACTGTAGTCCTTGAGAGCTGCTAAAAATGTGACAGGCTAGCAAGCGTAGGCGCTGGGAGTATTAGCCGGTGTACACCGTCAGTCTTAGTTGGCAAGTTTTGTTTATTTTTCTTTAACATGGGATAGTAAGAAACCCAGATAATAAATGAAACCCACAGTTAACAGCAAGTAAAATTCATAGCTAATTTTATTTGTGGCAATGATTAAAGCATATTTAATTAAGTTAAACCATAATTTTCATAAAGAGGCAAATTTGTGGCTCAAGTCTAAGAACCAAAAATGTTTATGGAGAAAAGATATGTCGAAATGTACTTGTGTTGAAATGGACATTAACTGACTTTTACCACAGGCAGAGAGGAATCGGTTAACCTCTCCTGGGACAGAATCCGTGTGCAGACCACAGGCAGGGAGGAATCGGTTAACCTCTCCTGGGACAGAATCCGTGTGCAGACCACAGGCAGGGAGAGAAATCGGTTAAACCTCTCCTGGAACAGAATTCGTGTGCAGGGCTGTGTAGAAGAATTCTTGCATCACTATCAGTTAGAAGAATAATTTTTGCATGGCTATCAGTTATCTGTAATCTACAGATCTGTAAAATGGATCAAAGACCATGAAGGCTAAATAATGTTCTAAACCATGCTAGTGTTCTATGAAGACAGCCCGCAACTTTGGGCTTATTCTGAATGCAGTAATAGGCAAAAGGTAATCCAACAATAGAGAAAGATTATTTTCCAAATTTGCCACATGGAGTAGCTTGATTTGTGGTTAGCGAGGGTGCTTGGTTCCTCCCTTCCCAGTGTCTTATGCCACTAAAAAATATGAATTCCACTCCAGCCTTCTCCCTGATGCTCTTGAATGCACACACTCCGTGCACATGTGAAAAGCAAAGACTGATTTCTTTTGCTAGCCTTTCTATTGAGTTACATAACCAAATTAAACTGACATTGAGATCACTCTTGAAAAACAAATTTTCATGAGAAAGAGTGCGGCCCCAGGGACTCCCTATCTATGTCTGGTTTTAATTCAGCTCAGGAATCTTAACTGTTTGTTCATGTGATCCTCGCATATTTCTCCATGTGTTGAGTAGTCACTGGGTTTGAGTCCACTTAAGAGGTTTGCAGGAGTGTAGAAGCACATTACTTTAAGCTTTTAAATTTAAAGAGCAAGAATAAAATGATGGTTTTTCATAGAGAATTAACCAATTAGTCTACCATTCTTGATACCAATAAAAATACCCAGTGTAAAACCCTTGAATACATATAAAAATGTGTGTGTATACACACACACACTTCACCCTGCATTATTTATAATAATCTGTGGTTATAGTTTAACAGTAATATAATGAAAAGGTATTCTACCATCTCTGGCTGATGTTTTCCTCTGGGGGTTGAAACGATCAGTTATTTGGAAATCACAGTCCGTGGGTGTGCTCGCATTTCGCTGCTGTTTTAAAACTGCATTGCCTTAACAACCTGACCTACACTGGTAGTGTCTTCTTCCCCATTTACATCGTACTGGACGTGACTGGTTTAACAGTTGCTTGTAATCATTGTATTAGAGAACATTTTCTGTGTTTATTCTTTATTGTTGGAGCTAGTATGTACTTTCTTGGTACTTCCATCTAGTCACTGAAGAAGATTATTGATCTGCACGTTCCAGGTGCTCCTTTAGGCTGGGCTACAAAGAAGCAAGCACACACAGGCCTGCTTTTGCCCTTCAGTTACTGTGTAGTAGAGAAAAACAATGAAGAAGTCCATCCGGGAACAAGTGAGCTGTTGAGTGCTGTGGGGAAAGAGCAGGTAAAGGCAGCCCGGGAGTGTGGGAGGGACCGGTTGCTGTTTTCAGTGAGGAGCTCCTGGAAGGGCTGCCTGAGGTGGTTCCTGCAGGAAGCGAGTACTCGGCTGTGCCCTCCTTCAGCCTGTCCCAGGAGGGTAGGGCTGAATTGGTGGCTCAGGCCTACAGTTGTCTAAAATGCCGTGACATGTTTTTCTGTTTTTCCTATGCAAAAATGGGTCATGACTTTTCCGATAGCCCGTATCTTTCCCCAGTCTGTACTCTGAACTTTCTCCTCTTTCCAGTTCTTTCTATTTTATTACTATGTTGTTCTTTTGTTCCTACTTTAAACAATTTATAAATTTATAAATTAATTAATTACATCGCTGGAATCCGGAAACCTACAGACGTGCCCGGGGCTAGACCGTCTCAGTACTCAGAGTGAGAACCTTCAAGCTACTAATTCCTGGAGACACGGCGCAAGCAAGTAAATCCTGAACTGCGGCCCGGCCCCCAGTCCACCCACACATGCCGTGATGAGTAAGAACCTGCCTGGCTAGGAGGGCTCCAGCACACCCTGTAACAGAGTTGTGCTCACGCACGCAACCCCTAGCTCGTAGCCGAAGTCAGGCAGAGCTTTCGCTGGCCTGCCTTAAGTTACCCGTCTTTCCTTAACTAATCGTGAGCTCAAGAAAACAGTGTTCTGGGCCCAGCAGTTAGTGCAATGGCTATGTCGCTGAACTCCTATGTAGCTGACCACGGTTCAAGTCCCAGACTCGGTGGCTTAAACTCAGCTGGGCGCGTGTGTGTGCGTGCCCAGGATCCCAAAAGGAGAATGGAGGAGAAGGGATTGTGGTGTATCCATCCCCCCTGGGGGGGTGATTTCTCACTTTCTGTCTCTGTCTCTCTCTGGCAAGCGCACGTGCCCTATAGCAAAAACCTCTCCAAAAATAAAAAACTGTGTTCTTATTAGCCAGGGCTGGGAATGGGACGGCCTCAGCCAACGAGTGACTAATAGGGGAGGGCATGGTCTCCAAGAGGAAAATCAAGGGGCTGCCAGTAGAAGGAAGTGGAGTAAACGAGCAGACAGAAGCACCGTGGCCAGCCCTGGACGTCGACAGGTGCCGCCATAGGACGCTGTGCCGGGGAGGACGGTCGCACACACACGGTCAGGTGTCGTCCCTGAAGGGAAGCCTGTTGGTAGAATGTGGTTTGTGCTCTGCTCCAACGGAACAAACAGGTTCTGCGTGCCCGGGCACGGGTTGTCCCACAGGTGAGGAGGTTCTGTAGAAAACATCCCACCTCAATTTCCACGTAATTAACTTGTAACACTTGAAGAGAAATACAAGAGGACGTAACTCCCATAGCGAGGTGCTCACTCGTGTATTAATTCTCTCAGGAGCATGACACTGTAGACGGAGGACGGACCTGAAAGTCACGAGACACAGGTGCTCCCAACGCAGCCATGACAGTCGTTCCCACAGAGCCAGCGTTCGCTGCGTGTATCCAAACCTGTTACCGGTTCCCTGTTTCTATCACGACTTCATGAGAGGGATCGCTGTGTTTTTCTTAAAGACCTTTACCTATGTACTTTTGCTCATGTTTTGTGTTTATCTTACTTTTTTAAAAGGCTATTGAAGAATCCCAGAACCACCCTGGTGAGCCTGTCGGAGATGACTACAGAAAGATGGGAACACTCTTCGGTGAACTGAACAAAAGCCTCATCAGCATGGGCTTCACACGCATGTACTTTGGAGAGCGGATCGTGGAGCCAGTGGTGGTCATTTTCTTTTGGGCTATGCTGTGGTTCCTGGGCCTGCAAGCCCTCGGCCTGGTGGCCCTGCTCTGCCTCGTCATCATTTACGTGCAGCAGTAGACACGCGGGAGGGCGTCTGGCACGGCCATGCGTGTACTTGACGGAGCTACAAGTCCCACTTTCTGAGAGCCAGAAACGTCTGCCTTGTTTCCAGTTGCGTGCTGGCTGCTCCGTAATTAAATTAGAAGTGGATGCTGTTTAAAACGAAGCCCAGCACTTGATTGTAACAGGGTTGAATACGTATTTAAGTATACACTAACATCTACAAAACTCTTATTTCTCCATTTTGACCTGTGCCCACTTCTGCCACCTCTGTCCCCAAGCTAAATGTGAACACCAACAGTAGTGAGCGGGGAGGTAACAGGGTGTGGAACTCACACCATCAACATCCTTCCAGTAAGGACCTTCAGACCTTTCAGATTGCTTCTCAAAGAATAAAGCAGGCCAAAAATAAGCTAATAGCGTCTCCATACCTGCCCCCTCCAAATAAGTCCACATTATTTGGGAAGTATTCAGCTCCCCGTTGTCCCTGTTCTCCCCAGACCAGGGCGCACAACAGCTTCACACTCCTGATGCTGAGACCCGGAGAGCTGGCCTGTTTTCTGCAGAGAGAGAGCACATCGTTACTGAGTCAGTCCCTGCTTAGAGAGAACACCTGGGCCTGTGAGTGCTCCAGGGTATCATTTAAAGTGGCAGAGCTTTCAGACCCGAAGCCGGAAGCAGAGTTGGCCACACCTATCGGTTCTGGCTTTCACAAGGCGTGTAGTTTTCCTAGACAGACATTTTCAGTGTATTTTTTCAGAGGTTTATAATTTTATAGTTCTTTTATAACAACTATTATAAATTTAAAGTAATGCATTTCCTATCTTGGTATGGGTTTTTTCCCCCAACACCATTTATTTATATGTTACTGTTATTTGTTTTTAAATATCAGATCATTTTCTTGATATCTGTATTGAAAAATACAGTATTACAGTATGAAACCAAATTTATATTTGGAATTTAACAGCCAATTTTGCTAATACTGCTCTATGCCTGGAGCCAAGCCTGTAATTGGCTAGCCATGTTATTATCTTAATTCAGAGCACACTGGGGTTTATACCAAAACGAGCATTTTCCATGGCTTTATTGCTATTTTAGGTTTTGTTAGAGAACCTGAAAGCTTCACACTTTCAAAGATTGTCTAAACAGGAAAAGTAGTTAAAATAATTGTAAAGGAATTCAAGGTAAATACAAGGAAAATGAGCAGTGGGGCATTTTTACTGGGCTGTTGTAAAAGTCATGACATGTTTTTCTTTGCTAAATGCATCGTGACTTTCCAGCAACACATCATCTTTGGTAGGGCAATGACTAAAACATGGAAAATGTTTACTGTTCCCCTTTTGTAAAGTTTCTATCCAGTCCTCAAAACACATTTTCTAAGTTCTCAGTGCTTCTAGTCTGAAGCAGAAAATAGTGAAAAGCATTTAACTTAGATTTCTAAAATCAGAGAATTCTAAACAAAAATACCAGTCAGGGAGCACTTGTATAAACACTTGTCTAAACTTGTGCATTTGTATACACACTGGCCTTTTAAATTTTGACTTTTAAAAAAACAAAAGACTTTGTACTACATCATTGTGTTTTTATTAGGCTTGCAGATTTTATAGTAACCTTTATGAACTCGGTATAAGAGAAACTTGTTGGAAAAGCTGTGCTCCTTGGTGCACAGTAGAGCTGCGGCATTTGTCATAGAAATCGAGAGATTTTGTGTATCTGGGTAAGTACACGAAATGTATTATTAAGTACATTCTTTTCTAAGGCTACTGGGAATTCTAGCTTCCCTTTAGAATGCAAAAAGGACACGTGTATTACATCACCTCTGGTCCTACCAGTGCCTATGCCGGAGTATTGTTAACGTGGATTTTAATAGTAATTCCTTAGGCTGCATCTGTACACACATCTGTGTCAGGAGGTCGGGTATTAAATTGTCTGAAGAAACAAGGGGGTGCTTTGCTGCGTGCCTTCCGACATCTGTCAGTGGTCAGTGTGGTACACCATCTATTCTGTTGCTTTCGTGTGGAAGAAAACAAACTGCTTGTTTGATGGAGATAAAATATTTTCCTTTATGAAATACATTAGAATGAGATTATACTGATATCCTAAAATGAAACTGGTCATTTCTTTCTGTCATGGAATAAGAAATTAAGTTGAAAGCAATCCTTGGTCATTTTAATCTCAAATATAAGCCAATTTTAGAAATGTAACTGCTTACAAATAAAGAAACAAATTACAATATCGAGGTTATTTTATTATTAGTGAATATAGTACTCATTCTACTAGCCCTTCATTCAAGGAACAAGGTCAAGATCTACAAGCAGATGGACTTTCCTAAAAGGAAAACGCAGTGTGCGGAATTTGGTCCTCTCACACCTTCAGCTGTCCTGTACAAGGTGCTTCCCCATTCCTCGCCACCAGTGAGATGGTTCCGAGTCTCGTGGTGTGTTTAGTCTGCCTGTGCTGGCTTCCAAGAGCCCATGTTACACATTTTTTTCTGCCTTCAGCAACATAAGCTTGTAGCTTAACTTGGTTATGGTGGGAGTATTTACACCATAAAAACTGGCAAACTACAAGTCGGAGCTTTGTCCCTAGTGAGCCAGTTTCTATGATGAGCCAGCCTGAGGACACATTTCTGTTTCTCCTCCTGATACAAAAGAAAACACGTTTTGGAAAATTTTTAAAAAGCACATAAAAATCCCTGTTGACTCACCTGAAACTGAATTGGGATCGCTTCCCTGTGGAGACTGGGCCACAGTTGTCTTCTGAAACACTTCCCTATTCACGTTTGAGCAGAGAACCTAGGTTGTCGTTCAGCTGCAGATCCATTACCAGTGATCCCAGTGATGGAGGAGCTCACGGAACTGGCGGAGGGCAAGTGGCCGGAACATGAAGGCTGTTGGCACATAGGAAGTCCGGGATCAAGCCATCAAGGACCTTTTGTCTGGCTTGAAGATTATGTCATGGATTATATTTTAACCCTATTTTACACGTTTATCTGAAACGTTTGTGTTACAGATGTATGACTTTACAAGGTGAAAGAAGAAAAACCCAAGCAAGATTTTCGAGCCCATTAGTACCTCTAGTCATAGACTTGGCCAAGGAGAATATAAGCTGTTACACTAATTATGGCTTTGGAATTACTGGGGACGGGCTCTTCTGTAACTCCAGGGTTTCTGGTGACACTTAGTTCTGATGTCCTCGGGAGCCAGCCCGACAGGCTTCCGCCATTCCACGTCTCGGCATGCCGGCCCGGCCCCATTGCTGTGGTCACCACCTGCCTGCTGGCAGCTCCTCGGCCTGCATCTCTGGCTCACAGCACCAAGAATGTAAGAACTGAGCACTTGGTTGCTTGCCCCATGTTTGCACCTGATCACCCCAGGGCACCTCAAATTCCACACGTCTGTAAAAGCTCAGCACCCTTCTTCCTAATCTGTTCTTCCTGTGTGGCCCTCTCAGCAAGTGACACAGTCCTCCAGCTGCTCACGCAGGAACTATAGGGAATATTCCCTACTCCTGCCTCTGATGCTGTCCGTTTACAACTGCCAGTCCTATTTTACTTCTATATTTAAAGACATTTATTCTATTTTCTTTTATTGTTTTTAAAATTTTATCAGAGACAGGGAAAGTGAGGAAGCATGCCCCAGGCCTTGACTTGGGACTTAAACTGCAGTCAGCCGTGTGGGAGTCCAGAGCCTTAACCACCACAGCACCTGCTGGTCCCACCTTACTTCTAAAAAGCCTCTTTGATCTAGTTCTTATCTTCAGCCTCAGTAGCAGTCCACACTACCGTCACCCCCCAAAATGCTCCCAGAATCCTGATGGTCTCCTGCCCTCAGGGAACATCACTCTCATCTCCTCGACCTAAATCTTTTTGGGGGCTTGCTGCTGCCATCATAAACGTCTTTCTTCCTCAGTGGACTGGTTCTCGTCTGCTGGCTCTCCCTATACTCCCATCCTCTCCCCGAGACTCCGATAAACCGAGCTTTTTAAATAAACAAAAGGAGCCACGCTTCCAGAGCTTCATACATGCTTTGCCTCATTCTTCAGCCCCTCCCCACTAGACTGACCAACACCTGCATAGACAAGACCTCGTAGCCTTGCATCCTCCAGGAGCACCCCCGACCCTCCCAGTCCATCTCTGGCAGCTCGTCGTGCTTGCTTGTTACATGGAGCCCTGTGCACCCTGACCAGCCCCTCCGTCGCCACAGCTCGGTTGTCAGTTTTCTCCATTGGCGGCGGTGTCCTGGTCCTGGCTGAGAACACGCCTGTCGTGGCCGTCGTTGCATCTGTCAGTGCCTACCTGCCCGGCACACGGCACTCAAAACATTGTCGAATGACTGTTTCCACCTCACTCGTGTCCTCCAATGGCCCGTTAGTAAAGCCTCAAGTTGGCTGGAGGTTAGAGTGACTCCAAAAATATGCCTACTGTGCAAAAGAGCAGGTCGGTGTACGCTGCTTTATGAACGGACTCGCCGGTGATGGCAGGAGGTCGCTATTACCTGCATACGTGCACAATATTGGTACTAGGCATTTGCATTTTTTAGGAGAAAACATTTTTCAGTGTTGTGCTTGGTTAATTCAATATTTCTGCAAAAAACATTTTATACTACATACGGTCACTAATGCTACCAAAACTCCATATTTTCCCAATATTGTTCATTAGCTCTTTATCTACTTAATTTGTTGAAAAGCTCTGAAGCTGTAAAGCGGAATTCTCAAGTACCTAAGCTTGGTATTCTGGGCTTCAGAATAAATTTACTGGCACACTGTCCTAGTAGCCCAGGCCGTATTTATTAAACAAGATGTATAAACTTTGCTCTTTCTAATAAAGAATAACTGCTCTTTTCCACCCCGCCTTCTGAGTCTTCTGATCCCTGTAGCATCTCCTGACTTCTCAGTCGCTGGCTGCCACTGTTAGAAATCGCCTGGCAGCAACACACCTGACACGGGCAGTGCCTGGCCACTCCCGTCGTCCAGCTAGAGCAGAGCCAAGGCCCGCTCGGTGCACACGGCCTGCGAGAGCAGAGAGCCAAGGCCAGCTCCGTGCACACGGCCTGTGAGAGCAGAGAGCCAAGGCCAGCTCCATGCACACGGCCTGCAAGAGCAGAGAGCCAAGGCTCGCTCGGTGCACATGACCTGTGAGCAGAGAGCCAAGGCCAGCTCCATGCACACGGCCTGTGAGGGGCGAGGGCCCACGCCCGCAGCTAGAGCAGAGCCAAGGCCCGCTCGGTGCACACGGCCTGCGAGAGCAGAGAGACCGGGCCCGCGCGCTGCACACGCCCTGTGAGAGCAGAGAGCCAAGGCCCGCTCCGTGCACACAGCCTGTGAGCAGAGAGCCAAGGCCCGCTCCGTGCACACGGCCTGCTGGGCGGCCAGGACGGGGATTACGTAGTCCAACATTCAGGCTGCTAAGTCCCTGACACAGGGCTTCTCAAGACGTCAGGACAAACCATCCGTCCTCAGGGCATGTCTCTGGGGCTGAGACTGAGTCTGTACGAACTTTTGTTTGTGTTCTCTGACCTTTTCCCAAGTTCCCAAAGCAGTTGTTTGTTTTTTCAAGCAGAGCTTCCCCTCCATGGGATGCTGTGTGTGTGTGCATGTGTGTGTACGAGTGTGTGTGTGTACGTGTGGTTGTTGCACTCACCTTAGAGAGGAACATCCCTGGCGAGGCGGGGCTGTGTTGCACCTCCTTTTCTCCAGTTCTCCGTCCTGTCAGGTTCTTGGCCACACAGTCACACACCCTATGTGTTGTAAAGCCACTGGGCCAGGATTCGAATCACTGCGGCCATGTGGGATTGGCTCCCATGCACAGCACTTAGCTGCTGCATTCATGGCCAGCCCCGAAGCAGTTCTAATTCTCAAACTGGAGAATGTTCGAAATAAGGCTTTCAGTGGCATGGCAGAACTCGCTCGGCCAGGAAGCATGGCCTGCGTCCCCACACCCACCCCAGCACACTGCTGCTACTGATTTATGACTGGGAGGTCCTGCCCGGATCCTGACTGACCTAGTTATTTTTAGCACAAAGGGCTTAAGGCAGCCAAATTTGGTCATTTGGCAGACACTTTTAAAAGATTTCTGAGCTAGCCAGCGGTGGTTAAGGCACTGGATCCCATATGGTCCACAGTTCAGTTCAAGTCCTAGACTTGGCAGCTTGGAAAACACTCCAGGTTGGGGCCAGCAGGTGGCGTGGTGGTTAAGGTGCTGGACACTCCCGCAAGGGCAACCACGGTTCAAGTCCTGGACCTGATAGCTTGCTTTCTCATTTCCCCTCTCTCTGTCTCTCTCTGTCAAATGAAAAATAAATGAATGAATAAATAATTTTTTTTAAAGAAAGAAAAACACCCCAGGCATGTGTGCATGTGTGTTCAAAAGCCCTAGAGGAGAGTGGAGGAGAAGGAACTGCGGTGCGGATCCACTGTTCAAGGACAGCCGTCTGTTCAGGGCCTGGCAGGTTTGCTTACCATTGCCAGAAGATGGGCGGATGTGAGAGTTCCTTCCCAGTGCTCTGCTCCTCCTCCTCGGGACTGAAATCTCGAATTTTCTTACTCGGTTTAAGTGTTAGTGCTTTGCAAATTTCCATGATCATCAAACAAGGACTGAGCCCCCAAGTGCTAATGGACCACGTGCTTGGTGCACCCCCTCTCCCGTGGGACACCTCCTCTCCTGCACCTCCTGCTTCGCGAGCCCCGTGTTCCCCAGTGCCCCTCCTCCTCTGTGGACTCGGGGCGAGCCACGCTGGCCCAGCACGCCAGGCACACGCAGGCCTGCTGCGGGACTGGCTGTTCCCAGAGGAAAGTAACTAGGGCAGCACTTGGTTTCTTCTCACTCCACACACAGCCCAGAGCACGCTGGTACCGCTCCCGGGAGCTTGCTTCGATGTCATCTCACCTTTCTGGGTCAATCCGTAAATGTGTAGGCACCAGTCTAACTTGTCACAACGTATGACCCAGCTAGTGCCCTCATAAACCCAGCCCCTGGAAGGCACCAGGGTGCCTTCTGTGTGCAGGCAGCAGTGGAAGCTGGGCAGGGCGGGCAGTTGGTAGTGATTAAAGAGTGTTACTAATCTGTGTCCTTCCGGCCTCAGTCCTGAGGGGTCTCCGGTTTAGCAGGACTTGTTACATTGTCTCGTTATGGACTCCTCTTCCGCGCTTTCTTTCAGGAATTCTCCCTACCTGGAAGGTGCAAGTTGCTCAACCCGTGGCAGCATGTCTCGGTGCCCCTCCCAGAGCTCTTTCCTTACTGTCATTTTCTGCTTTCAGTATTTTTATGAGATGCTCAGAGCCTGTGTGGGCCCAATGCCACTCTCAGACATGTCTTTCAAGCTGCAAGACGCCTTCCTTGGGAACTTCACGCATGGTACTTGATCTTCAGCCATCTCTGTCTGTCATGGAAATGCCCTGGCGTCCTCTCCCCTCACCTACCACTGACACCCAAGTCAAGGACACAGGTTCGCTCCCACTAACCTGGCTTGCAAAAGCACTAGGCCTTTGAACAGAGAAGACATTGTTTTTGCAATGACAGACTGAGGAACAGGAAGACCTGGACTCTGACGTCTGTTTAAGTGGCAGGTGCTTTCTGGCACCATCTACCGCTGCCGGTGTGGCCTTCATCCCTGCTGGGTCAAGGAAGGCAAACTGCTACTAATGCCACAAACGCCACCCACTGAGTTACCGGGGAGTCACTTCTCGTCACTAGTAACTGTCAGAGATGCCCACACCAGGAGAATGCGCGCTGCATCCGCAGAGTGGACTCACCTCCAGTCTCGCCTGCTCACTGCCCATGCAGAGACGGCCGTCCCAGCGCTGCCCAGCTGCGGGCTCCCAAGCTCGCGGCTCCCCTGGCTCCAGCAGGGCCCTGCACCCATGGGGCTGTGCTTCATGCACCTGACCTTCCCGAGTGGACAGAGGCACTGGCTTTCTCTAGATCTGGACATGAAATCACAGCGACAGAACCCAAACACTGTGAGGCCCAGCTGCAGCCAGCTTTGCCTTCGTGGGTGGGCAAGGGCCATCAGCACGCACTCTGGCGGCCCAGTGCGGGCCAAGCAGGTGAGCGTAGATGGAAGCGCAGGTACGCGTGCACGCCGGGGTAGCATGTGCTGTCTTACCGAGCTGCAAGTCTGGAAGAACCCCAGGAACCCGCGCACCAGCCTCCAGACCTCGGCTTCTGGTCCCGTTGCCCAGTAAAGGGACCAAGGCTGCCTGAAGGACAGCTGAGTCCATGCTGGGCAGGAGGTACGCAGGACATGCCTGAGCTGCCCTGTGTGCCAGAAAGCAGCACTGCCAAAGTCCGAGACAAAGCAAGGGCCCCGGGAGAGCCCCGTGACCACAGCTGGGACGAGCTGGGCAACACAACCTATGGAGCAGACTGAGTCAGAGTGAAACATCCAGCAGTTTTTCCTGATAAAGTGATTGCATAAGTATATTCGTGAGGGAGAATAACAAATCCGTGATATCAAATCCAAAGTGGTCACGTATCAATAGAAAATGCCTCCTCAAGGAGGACCCCCACACCCCACCTGACGTGTGGGCCGCTGCTCTGCAGAGAACACCGTGTCGAAGGGGAGGGCTTCAGGACAGAACCTGGCATCGCTACTGCGGCCAGGCCAGCAAGCCCACTGTCACCAGGGGGAGTCGTGCCGACGTGGCTGCCCCGGACAGTTCACGGTGAGCGTGCAATCCAGGTCTTCCTCTCAGGAAACCTACTCCACACTCTCGCCAAGGGTACTGCCAGGGGCTGCCACAGACCGGGAAGACGGGGCCGTGACGCTGCGTGTGGTGTGCCCTACCGCACCCCGGGACGTTGAGAAGACCCGGCATCGTCAATGAGCCGTGCACGCGTGACCGTCGCGGGCTGAGTACGAGCGTCACGGAGGCCGGCGTGGGGCCGGGGGGCACGGCACTGCGATGCTCCTCTCTGTAATGCAGAGCTACTGTAGGACTGAAAGGTCATTTTAAGAAAAACGTTAACCAGCTTCACTTGACCCCGCGCTGTCAGTGACCGTGCACTGTTTCCGTGGATGTGACGTTAGTGAACGAGCGTGAGCTCTACTGCCTCTCACACCCTCCTCCTAGATTATTACAGCCATAGAACATTCCAGTAATTCCCTCTCCTTTGAAAAAGTGCTGACCTTTTACTTTGCACATGACCATTTGATTAATGTTTAATTTGGGGGGAGAAAGTAAGAATCCAAATGTCCTACTACAAACGTATGGCTCACACCGAGGCCCTGGCTGACACACACTTCTGGGGATTCCTGTGGGGGTTCTTGGCCCAGCGGTACATCCCAGAAGACTACCAGGATGTCCCCAAAGTGCCCTGGAAGTGGAGAGGCAGTGACGGACAGTCTGCCAGCCCAGAGGTTCTGAAGAGCACCACCACCCCGAGAATTCTGGCCTGCTCGGGACAGCCCAGACTGGAACGTGGCCCCTTTCCCGGCCAACCCCGAAAATATCTGGGTGTCAGAGCCAGCCTACCCGGAGAGACCTAGAATAGAAATATCCTAGCGAGTCTTTCCAGGCAGGCGCCCTCGGTCAGCAGCAGAGTGGCCCCCGTGGCCTCAGAGGACCTGGAAAAGAAGCATGCAGAGACTTGTCCTACAGCCTGGCCTCCGTGTACGTGTGCCGGCAATTACGGGCCATCCTCGGTCTGTCCCCATGTCACCGAGGGCCCTCCTCTGGGGAAAATACCAATATGGGTGCTCTTGGGAGTGAGGCTTCACAAGGTTTCATGACTGCTTCTGACAGCAGCATCTTTTCTCCTCATTAAGAGATCTTCTAGTTCACGAAAATTTGAGAACCTTTCTGCCTGAGTACCCTGAGCACATGCTCGCTTTTCAAAGGTCACCTACTCTGACACTACCCGGTGTCAGGCCGAGGCCTGGGCAGCTTGGATGTGGGGTTGGACGCCACGCCACGGTCGGCTGATACAACCCGGATCTAGTTGCGCTGCACCCGGGTCTAACCCAGACGTAGCACACGGCACTCTGCTCTGCACACGGCACCACACCCCACTGGCCCAGCCGTCTGCCTTCCCCTAAACCATTACCATACATGGACTTTCCTACCTCGAAGACACTCCCCTCCTTATACCCTTATAAAAATCGCTAGGCCTCGCCCTAGCCGGCAACTTCTCTGGCCGCCTCTCTCTGTCAGACCAGGGAACCTCGCCCAGAAGCGCTCCCAGTAAAGGCTCTACATTTCTATTCTCGTGTGGTCGGCCCATTCCTTACACCCCGGGGAGATTACAAAGAATGTGGACATAACAAACAAGTGACAGGACAGAAAAGGAACTGCACCTGCCACATATCTTTTTCTTTCTTTTTTGGAGAGGTTTTAGCTATAGGGCATGTGCGCTGGCCAGAAAGAGCGACAGTGACAGAGAACAAGAATTCACCACCCCCCGGGGGGGTGGCCACGCTGCAATCCTTTCTCCTCCATTCTCCTCTCAGGATCTTGAGCATGCACGCACATGGACCCGGCGTGAGTTTAAGCTAACAGGTCTGGGACTAGAACCGTGGTTGCCTTCATGGGAGTCCAGCAACATAGCCGTTATGCCAGCTGCTGGTCCCAATAATAACATTTTTAATCCATGCCACTTAATGCATTCAGTACATTAATTTCTGCTTGTTTGTTTGTTTGCTATAGGGTGCATATGCTTGTAGGGTAGGGTTCTGTGAGAAATCACTCCCTAGGAGGATGGCCACACCACAATCCCTTCTCCTCCCAGGATTTTGGGCACACGTGCACAACACGCACCTGGTATATTTTTCAGCTGAGATTCCAACCACACAGTTGGCCGTATGGGATCCAGCTTCCTTAACCACCACACCACCTGCTGACCAATTTCTCTACTTTTGACGATTCCTTGGTAGAAATAGGGAGGAAAGTTTTTTGTCTTTTGGGTTGTTTCTTAGAGGTGGTCTCTCTAGTGAAATGCAAAAGAGAAGCAGACATACCTACTAAGAATGCTAGTAAACTGGGTTCCTTTTAATAAAATGCTTCTCAAAGTTTTCCGTGAGATGTTGGCCTTCAAGGTGGAAATTTCCAAACTATTTCCATTTGCTACAACAGAAACCGCATGAGCAGTCAGGCCTGACGACAGAGGGCAGCTTGGTGGTGCCCAGAGAACACAAGGACAGAGACGCCCAGACGCTGTGCAGTCCTCTCCAGTCCGCACCTGCTCAGGGCTGATGGGGCTGCGCGCCCCCAAGGCCGCTGTAACTGGCCATGGGGAAAGCTCACCGTCACAGAAAGGTCAGTTGTGATGTCGGAAATGATTTGAAAGAACTTAACACTGCCAGTTGCTTAGAACTTAATGTTTACACAGGTATTTGCTCAACTATTGGCATCCCAGGGATCATTCTGGCAGCTTCTGTTCTGGGATCTCTAACCACATTTTTCAGAAAGTTCCCTGCCTCACTGCTCTCCGCTACCACTGGCACAGACCAGTGAAAGGAGAGATGCAGTTTTGTTTTATTTTTTGGAGAGGATTTTTTGCTATAGGGCGCATGCATTTGCCAGAAAGACAGAGAGAGACAGAGAGGCAGAAAGCGATAAATCACCCCCCAAGGGGGATGGCCACACCACAATCCCTTCTCCTCTGTTCTCCTCTCGGGATCTTGGGCACGCATGCACACGCGCCCGGCCTGAGTTTAAACCACAGGGTCTAGGACTCGAACTGCGGTGGACAACATGGGAGTCCAGCGACACAGCCATTATGCCATCTGCTGGTCCTGAGAGATACAACTGGACACTAAGACCAAGAGCCAGCAGCCCCTCGGGGCATCTGTTAGACAGTGCAGACCCGCCAGGTGGCATGATGCCTATGTTAACCTCCTGCCAGCATATGGCAGGGCCCGCTGTCTCCGCTCTTCACCTGTCATCCCCGACTGTCTCAGTTCTTAACTTGTCATTTCCTTTTGTGAGACCTCAAAGTGCCTTGAATGTACTGATTCAACTTCAAATTTCACTTGACTAATTTTGAAAACGGTGATAAAGTCCTAATTCTTTTTTTTTTTTTTCTCCATTTCATGTGTTATTATTCTCTAGGGGAAAACTAAGGATTATTGGGTTGTCAGAAATTATCCAGGTGAAAACGCATCATGACTTTTCTGGCGACCCTACACAACAGAAGCCATGTGACAGAGCCATTTGTCCCCGAACGTCCAGGCTTCTGTACATTCCAGAGCCTTCCTGCAGTAGGTGGGTCCCAGCCGGCAGACACAGTGGAAGTGATGGGTGTCACGCACGCGGAGACAGGCCGACCCCTGAGAGTGCTCGGGGTTTGCAGTTAAAATCCCACTGGGTGCACCCCGACCTGGGGCCGGCTGAGTCTGGGTGACATCGAGACCCTGCTGGGGTGCACATCTCTGTGCTCGCGCCCTCTCTCCTCACTCGTGAAAGAAGTAGGTGAGCAACTGAGTCGCCTTTCTCTTCCTCCAGGCCAGCGTGAACCGCACACGTTCTACTCAATGGGCTGAAGGCAGGAAGGTGCCCCATAGCTGGAGCTGCAATGTGAGTGCGAAGCAGCCATTTATAGTTCCACCAGTGAAACGCGAAAGCAATGTCTTACCCCACACAACAGGCACAGGTGATTAATTCACACCGCTACACTTAGGTTACACGTTTGAGGGTACAGTTCTCTATTCCCTAAACCTCGTAGTAAGATATCCCCACCTTAGAATAAACATGGCAGAGACAGCACAGCACTGACGTCCTCAGCGCAGCTTCAGCTGCATCCCAGGTCGCTGTGCTCCAACGGTGGGCCGAGGGAAGAGCCAGGAGCGCAGAGGAGTTCAAGACTGTTAATGCTCGGAGAGGAGAGAACTGAGACCAGTTGCATCCAGACGCCGAAGTGTGTATTCCTGGCACTGCTTTGAAGATGTTCATTGAGTAATTGAAATAGAGTCACTAAAATGTCTCAGGACCAGAAGATGGCATAGTGGTTGTTATTGGACTCCAACATGGACAACCATGGTTCAAATCTGGGACCCAGAGGCTTGTAAGTTAAGCCGGGAGTGTCTGTGTGCATGCCCAAGATCCCAGGAGGAGAATGGAGTAGAAGAGATTGAGGACACCCAGGAGGGAATGTCTGGCTTGCACTAGTCAGTGAACCTCATCCTGCCTCCATTGAACATCAGTCAGTTGAGACCTGTCTTGTAAACTGTGAAGCCTTGGTTCCTCATTTCTCCCAGACTGTGCCTCAGCTTCTCCTTCTCAGCACCCACCAGAGGGCACCACCTGGTTACAATCCTGACAGATCTAAGAGCACTGTAGCTAAACATTCAAATACTAATAGGGTTGAAATATTCCCCACTATCTACTGAATCTGCTGCACCAGCAAGCACAATAGAACAGCAAAGAGATTCTGGATCACCTCTGTCTGCTTGCTCCTGAACATTAAGGCTGAACCTCAAGAATTTGAAAGAAACACAACATTCATCAGATGACAAGAAATCACCGCCGGATCACGAGAAACATGGGAAAACAAGAAAATACCTCTCCTCCTAGGGAAAAGAGTAACTCTTCATCCACAAGCAGTTCGGTGAAAATCATGGAAATGTCTGATAAGGAATTCAGATCATTCATAATGTCTAAGCTAACAGAGATGGAAGAGAAGAGAGATAATGAACTGCTAAAGAGAAAGGAGAAAGAAATTGACGAGTTCCAAGAGATGAGGAAATTCCTGCAAGATCTAAAAGTGGAATTACACACTTTACAAAAGACTAAAACGGAACTACTAGAGATGAAGTCTATAATACAAGAAGTCAAAATCTCCCTGGAAAGCATTAAAAGCAGACTAGATCATTCAGAAAATAGAATCTCAGATGTAGAGGAGAAAATGGCTGGCCTAGAAAAATCCACCATGAAGGCTGAGAAAATGGCACAAAAATTTGAGAATAATATGCGAGAAGTACTGGATACCATCAAACGTCCAAATATCCGGATAATTGGCATTCCAGAAGGTGAGGAAACCCATAAGGGCATTGATAATCTATTCCAGGAAATCCTGCAAGAAAACTTTCCAAACCTAGAGAGGCATTCAAAGATCCAGTCCCAGGAAATACAACGGACCCCAAATAGAATCAACCCTAGAAGATCTTCTCCAAGACACATTATAGCCAGGTTGACCAAAACTGCAGACAAAGACAAGATACTAAGATTAGCAAGAGAAAAACATCAAGTTACCTACAAAGGACATCCCATCAGGCTAACAGCAGATCTCTCATCAGAAACAATAAAAGCGAGGAGAGAATGGGAAAATATATTCCAAGTGTTAAGAGAGAAGCAGTTTCAGCCAAGAATACTGTATCCGGCAAGATTATCTTTCAGGTGGGAAGAAAAGACAAGAACATTCTCAGATAAACAAAACCTGAAAGAATTTACCAGCACCAGACCAGACCTCCAAGAAGTTCTCAAGGATGTGCTGTATCAGGAAAACTAAACGCAGATACATGGAAATAAGAGTCCAAAAACTGAGAAAGTAGCTAACTTAATCATAGGGACAAGTCTGGAGTTGAATACTATATCCCAGAATTTAATCAGGAAAATTGAACCAGAACAGAAGATAAAAGTATATGAGACTGATAGGTTCATGCACCTACCATTTGAACAGAATCCTAACCTGTTTCCGGGCTTTAAGCAAAGTTCCTTGGCGGTTCTTTGATTTAAGTTAAAACTGGTTTTCTTAGTAGTAACGAGGGAACTCACCTTTGAAAGTAGTCAGGTTATGTAGGAAATTGTGTGATCAATGCAATGTGGGTGGGAAGGGAATGGAGGACAATTTTGGACACTAGAGGTGGTGTGAGAGGAGGGTGGGAAGGGACAGAGGGTCAGAAAGAGGGGTGGAATTAATTCTAGCAACTAGAAGTGGAAATTTATATTTTTTGTAATGTGCATGATTGAGTCACTATGCAGTGTGTACTGGATGGGAGATCGCATTTTGTGTGCTGTGATGATGCCTAGAGAAGGAATGTAAATTGAGTTACAAAAAAGAGTTTCAGGAAAACAAAATATATCTATTCAATGACTGCAGTAGGATATGTAGCCCCAGTTAGGTGCTACTTGATAGGATGCGTAAAGTTAGACTTGTGCTCATGGAGAGACAGTGTGGGAGGAGAATAGGAGGTGGCAGAGGGGAAGAGATAGGGAACCAAGGATGGGCGGAAAAAAGCAAAACATACAGAAAACAAGAAATGGGAGATCATTTGCTAATAATAACATGTTTGTTGATGTGCTTGACTAAGACAATATATAGTGTACTCTGGATGGAAAATCTCATTTTGTATGCTGTAATGATGTACAGTGAATGAATGCAAATAAAAAAATTGGAAAAAAAAAAAAGACTATTAATGCTCCACTTTAGCAAAACCCAGAGGTTAAGAGATAGAGTAGAAGAAGTGCATGACCTTATGTTAAACTCACTCTAATACCTCTGAAAGCTGGACCTAAGACTTAAAAAATAACTCAAGGGGAAAAAAGTAAAATAAGCATATTTCTAAACTTTGGAGGCTGAAATGCAAGATAATATCTCCCATGTGACAAGACCTAGGACTATTTACATCCTACATGATCTAAAATTAAATTCCTAAATCAAATTATTTTCTTTTCACATCTTCTCATGTGTCTTTGGTATAGCAGAGTACACTGAATGAGGGAGATAAAAGGATAGTAATGTTCAGAACAATAAGAAAAAGAATAGGGAATTAAGAAAGCCAAAAACAGGGCCAGCCAGTGGCGTGGTGGCAAGGAAGCTAGAGTCCACATGGCTAACTCCAGGGTTCGAGTCCTGAACCCAGTCTCTTGATAACAAGCTGGGCCATGAGTGTGTGAAGCCCAAAACTGTAAGAGGAGGATGGAAGAGAAGGGATCGCAGCATGGCCATTCCCTCTGGGAAGTGATTTCTTACTCTCCTCCTCTGGCGAGCACACAAGTCCTACAACAAAACTAAACAAACCAGCAAAAGCCAAGAACAAAGACTCAGGAAAGATGAAAAACTTATGAGAAAAATAAGGAGCAAGACAATTTTAAATAAAGAAAAACAAGTAGTAATTACGAATTCAACTCATTTTAAAGGGCCCAGTGAGTTGCTATTTTACTTTTGGCCTGCAGGTGGCAGCTGCTGCTACACTTGTAAGGAGACCAAGAACTTCTGCCCTGCCCTGGTGCGAGAGATCCGGACCGAACCCCACAGCTCTTGGAAAATGAAAAGCTGGGATTACGTTTCAGTCTTTCTCCATGCATTACAATAAATTTTTCAGAATAGCTTGAGCTTTGAGGTTTTTGTTTTGTTTTTTTTTTATTTTTTCAGAGGGTATGTGCTCTTGCCAGAGTTGAGGGGAGAGTGAGAAAGCCCCCCTGGGTAGATGGCCATTCCACCATCCCTTCTCCTTCATCCTCCTCAAGAATCTGGGGCACGTGCCTGCCGTGCATTCAGCTGCTGGGCCTAGCACTCTGCACACCACACTGCACACCTCGCTGCACACCACACTGCACACCACGCTGCACACCTCGCTGCACACCACACACACCACGCTGCACACCACGCTGCACACCTTGCTGCATACCACGCACACCATGCTGCACACCTCGCTGTACACCTCGCTGCATACCACGCACACCATGCTGCACACCACGCTGCACACCTCGCTGCATACCATGCACACCATGCTGCACACCTCGCTGCACACCACGCACACCATGCTGCACACCTCGCTGCGCACCTCGCTGCACATACCTCGCTGCACGCCTCGCTGCACATCACGCTGCACACCATGCACACCACGCTGTACACCTCACTGCACACCTCGCTGCACACCTCGCTGCGCACCTCACTGCACACCTCGCTGCACACCTCACTGCACACCTCGCCGCACATACCTCGCTGCACGCCTCACTGCACATCACGCTGCACACCACGCACACCACGCTGCACACCTCACTGCACACCTCGCTGCACACCTCGCTGCGCACCTCACTGCACACCATGTGGGGTCTAGATGCCTTGCCCCCACACTGCCTGACTGGCTCCATCTTTTCTTTTTTTTAATTAACTTTATTATTATAATTTTCAAAATTTTGTTTTAGGGCGCATGCGCTCACCAGAGAGAAAGAGAGAAAGAAACCAACCTGCCAGGTCTGGCACTCAAACTGCCGTTGGTCTTGTGGGAGCCAGCACCTTAACCACCATGCCACCTGCTGCTTCCCCCATAGCTTTAATTCTATAAATAATATGAAACAAATATCTCTGGGGGTATAATAGAAACAAAACAACAAATATATGTGCATTTCTTCCAGTGAGCAGTTCTCGGTTGCTGTTGGAACTCCCTGGGCTCATACCCTGTCTTGCCTGCTCTGCGGCTTTTTCCCCTTCTCAGTCGCCTGAACTCACTGGTGTACCATAGTCCAGATTATGCGAGGCCAGTTGTGTGGATGGGACAGAGCATTACACTAATTATGTGAATGTTAAACAAAGAACACCCTGCACTTTTTTCAAGGATACAGAGATCTCTGAGTATCAGGAAAGTCCAGCAGGAAGGCGGATGTTACCTGCATTGATGGCGTCTATGGGACAGAGAATGGGACTGAAAATATTAGAGAAAAAGAGAAAAACAATAAAGTAGACTTAGATTTATCCCTATGTATTTCATGTGTTTGTTTGGGTTTTTTGGGGTTTTTTTTGGTTCTTGTTTTGTTTTGTTTTGTTTTGTAAATAGTATTAGGTTTTGTTTGTTTGTTTAAAGAGAGATTTTTGCTGTAGGGCACGTGCACTCACCGGAGAGACAGAGAGACCGAAAGCAAGAAATCACCCTGCAGAAAGGGATGGCCATGCCACAATCCCTTCTTCTCCATTCTCCTCTCAGGAGCTTGGGCACACACGCACACATGCCCACGGTGAGTTTTAAGTTGCCGGGTCCAGGGCTCAAACCGCAGTCATCTAAGTGGGAGTCCAGTGACGTAACCATTACATCATCTGCTGGTCCTCGTAAATAGTATTTTTTATTTCATAATTTCAATTGCTTGTTAACATGTGTAGAAATATGACTGAATTTTGTACGTTGACTTTATATCCTAAGCTTCTGCTACATTCACTTGGTAGACTTTTTGTAGATTCCTCAGCATTTTCTGTGTAATCATGTCCTCTTGGGAGAAAGACAAGGGATGGCTGTTGCCCACCCCGTACATGTCCCTTCTCTTTCTTGCCTTCTTTCCTCGTCTAAGACTTCCAGGTTAATAACAGAGCAGGCAAAAATAAATAAGTAATAGAGCAGGCACTCTAGCATGGTTCT